TGTTACCTTGAGCAAATCAATCTCTTGCTATCAAGTCCAAGCATCCAAGTCTTCAACAACAACATTATTGAAAACGAAAAGCCACAAATTCAGAATTCTCACCTCTCTGGCCTTGACATAGTTCCAAATGCATTAAATGGAAGCTTTGTTTGAGCCTTGTATAGACCAACTTCCTGTTAAAGAACAAATAACTTAGCATCAAACTGCCAAAGGAGTCCCAAAAGGGACATTCATGGTATCATAAAAGGGTATCTCGAAACTTACTTCCAGAGTTTCTCCATATAAGGGCGCATTTTATCCATTCACCATAATTTCAAGAGGAATAGCACGGGTTTTCTCTGTGCTGGGGTCAATAAAGCCCTCAACAGGACCTTCGGATCTCCTGTTTGGACTACAAAGCCATCAGCTACACAAGAAAAAACAAGAGTATCTATAAGTTTCAAGAAATTACAATAGGCAAAAAAAGGGTAAACCATCAACACATTATAAAATCCCTTGAACACATATATACAAATATCTGTGCTCATCACAAATTTGAGCTGTAAAATTATCCTAATAAAGATTATTTTGGAGTTTACTCTTTCGACATAATCAAGGGCCTTCACACCAGCAACCTTGAGACTTTCGATAATATAAACACCACACAACACAATATCCAGAATCAGGTTTCAGGAAATATGATAGATTCTAAAACCCCTTAATGGATCTCAACAAAAATAACCTGGAATATTTATAGTCATAAAGAGAGTTAATAAGGCAATGAATCGGACCAAACCAAACAGAGCAAAAATGTTACGTAAGCGAATCTAGTACTTCAGATCTCTGTTAAATAAATAACCTTATAAAGATGAATATCTTAAACCCAAAATCTTCATTCAAAATCTCAAATCTGAATGCTGAAACCCTGTCATTTATATAGCATGAGCCAAACATAAGCTTTGTTATTGGATAGAGGAGCAATTCTTAAGTGCTAAATTTTGATTACATGCACAAATTTAAGGAAGAACTAAATTATTGAAGTTCTAGCTCCGTTACAATATAGATATATTAACAATTCGTTGAAATAAGAGCTTGTGCTTGAAACCCAACATTAATATTGTGACTTACAGGTCATTCTTTAGGCCACTTCTAATTATATTGCCTTATTCTACTATTATCCTTTAGCATAGTTTAAATTCTTACTAATAGCATTTCTCGATTTATTCAGCTGGTAACATGTCGAATATCAAAGAGTATACCTATGGAGAAGGATTACAGAAATATAGCTTCTTTCTTCTAGATGAAATTTTGTGTAAAGAGAAAGAAGAATTATTGCTAAATTAAATTATTGCTACTATTAAATAATTTTACGTGTAAAGAGAATGAAGAATTTAGCAATGAGGGTTCAAGCAAAATGTGTTTTCTTCATTCTTCTTGAGAGACTCATGGACCAAACAAGAACAAAAAATCCATAAATAACCTCTCAAAATTTAACATACCTGAAAGTCTCCAACCAAAAGAACTTGAGAACCCCCAACTAAAAAAGAAACAACCTGAACGCAATCAACACTAAGACTATTATATAGGTCCACCCCCTTGAAGTCATATTCTAAGGGTTTGTTTGGCTAAACACTTAAGGCAAAATATATTTGAACAAGAAAAAGAAGATTCAATGAAGAGATGGAAATTTTTTAAACAAACGCATCAAGAATCAACTCAAAGAACTAATTTGTTCAAAAAACCTTATCGGACAGCAATCGCACTGCTCAGCACTCCATACAGAATCCCTCCCCAATCAGCCTCCGCCACTCACATGTCGAAGCTAGCAAAAACAAAACCAAAACAAACAAGATTATTATGAATTATTTAGTGACTGGAAAAAGAAAAAACAATTTATATACTAGGATAAAATTGGAGCAGAACTATACCCTCTATTGGCAAACATGCAAAATTACCCATTACCTTAATAGCCAATGGAAGATGTCAAAAGGCATTATTGACTGGACGGTGTGCTTGAGGTGTGCATCTCCTTCGACCCGTCGAGTTTCAACATCTGAGAGATTTGAGGAGTGCGGTAGGGTTTTGGTCGAGAGAGGAAAGAATTTTGAGGAGCAAGGGTTTTGTTTTGTGATTAAGAGACGTGAGAGAGTTCTTCAACCCTCATCTGAAACTGCTGCACTGCCTCTACGATGAACAAATATATAGTAGGAAAATAAAAAATAAAAAAATTAGTGGATTAGCCGAGCCGAGCCGAGGTTGGACAGCTTGTGAACAGTAAACTGTAAACTCCAACTTCACTCGAGGAGAAGTGTTCTCCCCGTGAGCGCACGGGGCTAGAAGTCTCCGTGCACCACGGAGACTTTACTTCGCGGTACATGGAGACTTCAATTTTTTTTTATAAATTTTTTTTTCTTGTAGTTAAGTCATAGGGGTAATTGCGCTTAAAGTCCTTCCACTTTTATCTTGTACTTTTAAGTCCTTATATTTTGACTTTTCTATCAATTTCATCCTTTAAAAAATTGCATCCCTAGGTCCTTAACCTTTGGACACTTGTACAATTCGATCCCCGAAGTCATATTTTTGTGCAACTTTGGTCCTTTTTTGGTATTTCAACCCTAACTTTTGATACGGTTATCAGAATCGCACTCATGACCCCCATTCGGAAACGTCTATTCGGCGCGCACGTCGTGGCCACAAGCTTAGCTGGGTAGGAGTCATTCTCGATGCCAAAATCCACCATTTTCCCTTCCAAATCGTCAATTTAAGTTATTTTCCCTTGCTTATCGCTGATTTAACATAGTTAGAATATAATAAACAATAATTACTTACCTCAATTAGGATAGGAGATTAAAAATCACAATTAGGAGAAAAAATATACATAATTAGTGTAATTATACATGTATAAACAAATAAACAAATAATTACTTTATCCTAATAATTGTGTATATATAATCGGTTTTGCTACGGGTACATCTTTTAATGTACAAGTAGATTTATCCATATATAATTATATAATTAGCATATAATATTCTTTGTATAACAAATCAATTAGTTATTATACAAATTAATTATATACTTTGTTTTTTTCCCCCTTCCCTAAAGTCAACAATTGTAGGCGTTTATAAGGCAGAAGTCTTTTATTTACACTTTTCTTTACCTTTAGCATATAGTAGGGATAACAGTGAATAATGGGTGATAAGTGGGGATAAAATGGGAATGAAAACTACTTCAGAAATGAATAGTAACCTGCGGATTGCCTCTTTTATATTAGTAGGGATACATA